TTTATTCTACTGAGTTCCACTCAGTTTCCCAATTCAGAGTTTGCTTCTGCGCTTCAGCATCCCAAATAATCAGTGATTAACTTAAATGCCTAAATAATAGCTTGCAGTAATTCTGTTACCTGTTTTAGGATTAGAGCAGTAGGGACGGCAGCTATTAATATGTGCCTGGTGGCCACAGGAGGAGCGGATGCCTATTATGAGATGGGGATTCACTGCTGGGACATGGCAGGAGCTGGAATTATCATTCTTGAAGCAGGGGGAGTGCTGCTTGACATCTCAGGTAAAATATGTTGAAAACAAAGTAAAGCCAGTTTTGTACAATTAACAGTTCATGACTGTTGAAAAACTTGAGCAGGTAAGTATTTTTCACTCAGGGATACAAACCTGAGAATTTCCTTATAGAAACGGTGGGAATAACAAAACATTCAGGATACACATCATCATGCAAATGTTGCAACTTCCCTATTTGTGTCAAATATCAGGAACTAGGTACATAAGAACAGCATTTGCACGACGACATCACCAAGGTTTGATGCAATGCTGCTAATTTCTACTGTGTTATATGTACCCTGCTGGGAATCATAAAATAAGAATAATCCTGATTTATATTTTTCCTTTGTAACATGAAACTCTTGAGTTCAAAATACTAAATGACCCACCGCTGTTTTGCTAAGGGGCAAAACAAAATGGAGTTAAGAAATTGTATGCACAGTAATACATCTTCCACAGCAAGGATGATCTTTCTAGAAGCTATGCCACATGAATATGGCTACTGTGTGATTGAAATGTAAGACTTTTCTGCTTTTAATTTGTAAACCTAGTTCTCACACTAGGATTCAGTGTCGACATAGAAGCTTGGTGTTGCTAACATTTCATTCAAGACTGAAAATTTATTTGATCATCATTTGTTCTATTGCAGGATTTTGAAAACTGTATGTGAGGTTGTTCCTTGTCTTGATTAATTGGATTAGTCCAGAGAATTATTATGGTATAGTAGAAAGTGCTGGACAAGGATCAGGGAGCCCTGTTGAACATTTGGAGAGCCAAATTAATTGACTGTCAGCCATGGAAGTTCAGTGTGTTACTTTGGATCAGGATACTTGTTGGGGAAAAGACATGAGTGCTGCTTTGAATTGCAAGAAAAAAAAATAACAGGCAAATATAGTTTAGGAAAATAAAATTTAATTTTTGAAATAATATTCAGTTTGCATTTCTGCTGCTATAGGACACTTTATCTGTGAATTAGTAGAAATAAGTCAGATATATAGATGTGTGTTCAATACATCTGTGTATTTGTTTTTCTAGGAGAACCATTTGATTTGATGTCAAGAAGGATCATTGCTGCAAATTGTAAAGCAATAGCAGAACGGATAGCAAAAGAGATTCAGATCATTCCTTTGCAAAGGGATGATGCGGTGAATTAAATATCCTACCACATGGCTTGTATTCCAAAAAGAACTTTTCTTTGAAGCTCATTCATTGTACCTGAGTAAATAGAGGCTCAGTTATCCATCTTGATATGTCAAAACCTGCTGCTGAAATCCTTCCCCTCTCCAATGTTTTAAACATTTCTTTTATTATTTATCTTGTGGGCGGCACATTTTTAAATATCATGCTTTCTTTTCTCTGGCAAGAAAATAAATGGGATATAGTGCAAAAGAGGATGAAGTAATTCATCTATATAATTAACAGTTCAGAACAAGTTTGACTATGCATATAGATCCATGTGACATTTTTTCCTCTGTATATTATAAGGAAAAAGAATAAAATCTCTAGCCAAATGTTTTAAGAGAGATAATTTCATTTAAAACAGAAATGAATTTTTAAAAGAATTTGTTACCACAAATATAGAAGCATGAAGACTTGTTTTGTAATCTGCATCTGTCATATAGGGATTGGGGAGCCTTTAATGGCAAGGCAGACCAAAGGTAGAAAGACGCGCCAGTGTTCTTTCCTCTATCCCCTTGCAATTGCTCTGATCAGGCTGATCTTTCTCCACCAGCCTGATTTCCCTGCTTAGTTAAGGATGCACTGTTTTAAATATCTGTGGAACAACTTGCTGGGAAAATTCACTGCTTGAAAAATCTTCCCTTTTGATGCTTCCTATTTATAAGGGAAAGGATGCCTTCTGCTAACTTTCCTTTTACATATTTTACTCATAGTTTATAGTTTTCATAAACTGTGCAGTGGTAATTATTGAGTAATGTATGGGGTATATAGTGAACGCAATGCCAGAACAGAAGGTATGACCGAACTAAAACTAAAAAACCTATTTAGATTTAAGTAGAATAATACAATGGCATCTTATATCAGATTAAGCTACTGTGATTGTATTTTGGTCTCTTAGAATGGCAACAATCAAATAAGTATTTTTTTAATATTGAACTCTTTTTGAATTAGGCGTTTTTGTTTTGTTTGGATATGTGAATATATGTGTGGTTTAATCATTTATTTCCAGTTTTCATAAACTGGATGATTTAAAATAGATATTTAATCCAGAGTTGGATTCATTCTTAGAAATACTAGGTAAATGGATAATTCAATATGTTGTATAACCCTCCATGTATCAGTGACATAATAAATAGACCCACTAAATTGTGATCTATTTATTTATCTTTAAGGTCCCACAATATATTTGTTATATTTTCTACTAGGCTAATAGCTAATTCTTTCAGGGATTACTCTGTAAAAGTGTTTGAAGTACAGTTGAGTGTTTTACTGTAAATCATTTGATAAGTGTAATATCCATTAGTAGGGAAAAAATATAACTGAAGATGTGAAGAAGATTTAGAAAGCTTTATGACATCTAGAAGGTTGGAATCATATATTGATAGTTGTCATGTGCTTATCAAATCTAATCATAACTTTGACATAAGTAGTTTACATGACAGAGAAGAATTCTGACATACTGGTGACATATTTCCAAACTGGTGATAAATCATAAATGTAAGATTCCAACCTATTTTATGCCAGGAGTTAGCAATGGAATGTGAACAGACATCAACCATCCAGAATGTCCCGATGTCCCCAAAATTAAGTAAAAATGTTTTAAAACTCCAAATAGCCCAAATCTCCCATGTTTAGAATTGTTGGGGGTGCCTTCCTTACAAGTTCATACAATGTTATCTAACCATGAAAATGTTCCTGACTTTTTCCATGCGTATTTTTTATCTTCTTGTGTTTTAGGTTAGAAAGTTATTATGTTAGTCCTCTCAATTTAGCTATACCGATGCAAACTTCTGGCATATTGAAAGAATTATTTGTTCCAAAGCAGTGATAAGTATCCAAATAATTTTCACTGATAAGTTTTGTTTTCCCAGCTCATTTACTTTCTAATTGTTTGCGTTTAACCTCATTGTAGAAATAAACTGTTATTAGCCTAATCCTCATTTCCTGTTGATTTACTTGTGGATTACTCTCTGAAACTGGCTTAACTCTGGGTATCTTGCAATCCACTTTTGTGAATTGTGTGGAAACAAGGTTTGGCAAGGAACAAGCCAAATAGGAATGCCTGGACTTCTGCAAAATATCTGACTTTAGAATACTACAATAAATTGATTTATATTGTTAAATGTAAATTGTTTTAAAATGTGAGATCATAATTTGTTTAAAATAAAGATCAGTTTTATCAATTATAAATTATCTCTTTGAATGTTTTTTCTCCTTCCTATTATTTTCAGAAATCTACAAGCCCCAGCTTCTTTCTAGCAATCCATCAATCTTTTTTAAAAAGTTCATTACAATAGTTTTCTTAAACTGTTCCTGAAACTGTCCCATTGTGTACCATCTTCTAAATATAATTGCTGGAAACATTCCGTGCTAACATCGGTCTTATAAGCCACCTATGGACACATCATTGATGGCCCATAACCCACAAGATGTCAAGGTCTTCATCGAAATCGATGGACGAACAACACTACACAATATATACCTTTTGTCTTTTTTAAAAAAAAAATCAAATACTAGTTTACACACAATGCAATTGTTTTTTACAAAATGGCAAGATAAGAATGAGGAAGAAAAAAGGAAGAAATGGATAGCCCTCCTTATTTTCATTTTAAAAAATGTTTTCTTTAATTTATTAAATTGGTTCCCTAAAATGCATGAGACTGGAGCAGTTACTCCTACTTAAGTCAGCCAGTAGAGGGACTCATTTCACTCATTTCAAATACTTTCCTGATGAATTAATACAGTTGTCCTATTTATAATACATTGAAGTATGTCTTCTGTTTTTCAGTTTGCTATTCTTCTGCCTTGCCTACAAAGTAGATGTTTTATGATTTCTGATAGACTAAACTGAAATATCTGCCACTTTTGGTAGGTTGTGACTGGATGTGAGGGGGCTGTAACTACCAGTAATAGAACAATTATAAAGTAGATGGAGCAAGATATTTTTTCCTAGTTTTCTGAGATCTAGAATTTTTCCCACACTTTGGGGATTTACACAACAATCTTTATATATTTCATGTCACAAAATTATGGGAAATCATGCAACCAATTATGAGGCAGTTGGTAGAGAGGATTCTGGGGGTCACAAAAAGGTTTCCACTTTTATAGTATAACAACAATAGTGATTTGTAGTTTTATCAGACTACTTACCTGAATTTCAAAATGGAGAACTTACTGTCAAGTTTGATTTTAAAAAACTAAACTCTCTTTCTCTCCGTGTGTGTATGTGTGTGTGTGTGTGACACACTGATCTGTTCAGTAAAGTTTTTGTGCAATCACTAAAGCATGGCTTCTCATGCTGATTTTTCCATTCTAGTTCTACTTTAGTATCATACCTGAATCAGCAGTGTAATGAAACTTCAAAGACTAATGTGATTCTAATTTACAGTAACAGCGCCTTAATTTTCAGCTCAAAAAAACAATAGTTTTACTTTATTCTGTATTGGTTTGATTTCAGAAGAATATCAGAATATCAGAATCAGTTCAGCAACTATGATCACTGAAAAAATAGTAACCTATGATAACTAACATAGGACTTATTTCTCCTCAAACATATTTCAGTATGGAATTCTTTATTTATTTTCTGCACACAAGTATCATAGTTACATTGACATCACTTGAAGAATAAGAAGCAAGAAAATGTAACCTGGGAATGAAATGTCTTATACTTTTTTGTAGACCCTGGTACAAATGACATCATTCAAGATGTATTCCTGGAAGAGAAGAAGATGCTAGTAGGAATTTCATGTAGTTAGAGTATGATTAACATCCATTTAGATCAATCTTTCATCTGCTTCCCATCACAAGTAATCCCAGAGTAGACTACAATAAAGCAAAATGATAAACCCAAAAAAATTCAAAAAATTTTCAACCATTCATTTAGCAACTGTTCAAAGTTACAATGGCACTGAGAAAAATGACTCATGACCAGTCCTCACAACCAGGGCAGTCTCCCCATGGCTGCATGATCAGAATTCAGGCGCTTGGCAACCAGCATGTATTTACGATGATTGCAGCATCCCAGGGTCATCTGATTGCCATTTGTGACTTTCCCAGCCAATTTCCGAAACGTAAAATCAAAGAGGGAAGCCAAATTCACTTAACAACCACATGGTTCATTCAACAATTACAGTGATTTGCTTAATAACCTTAGCAAAAAAAAAAGCTTGTACAACTCACTTAACAAAGCCTTGCTTAACAGAATAAACTCTGGTCCCAATTGTGATCATAAGTCTAGGACTACCTGTATTTCTCCTCCTCTAAACTAGCAAGTTATCCTTGAAAACCTTTAGATAGAATAGATGACTTCAAACATAACAGTGACTTTGAGGTTACAGTTTGAAGAAAATGCTCCTTATCCCTCTTTCCCAGCCTTGTCATTTTTTAATTCTAAAAATAGTTGAGTCTAGTTCATAAAATGAAAAAGAAACAAAAACCATTAAAGGATTGAGTTCACACAAGCCATGATTTACAGCTCATGGTGCTCGAGTTCAGAATTGAACAACTTCTGCAAGTGTAGCTGAAGAAACCTTGAATCTTCCTGGTAGCCAAAACAGATGCTAAGCCTTTGGAACAGGGTTAAAATAAGGCAGCCTAATATCCTCAGTTTCACTTTCATCAGATTGGCAGGTGCTAGAGGTACGGCCAAGGGTGTCAGTGAGGGTGAAGTTGGAATTCCCTGAGACTGCATGACAAGAAAGACATCTTGACCTCCTCCTAGAGCCTATCTTGGCTTGCTTTCTTGCTCTCTGAGTTTTCTCTCAGCCTCAGCAACTTTAAGATGTATAGCCTTCAACTCCCAGAATTTAGTTTTTCTTTGGTTCAATTCTGTTTGATTCTTGGGGACTGGCTGCACAGGTTTCTGCAATTTTCTTGGCAAGGTTTTTTATAGGTAGTTTGCCCTTGCCTCCTTTCCAGGGCTCTGAGATGGGGCTAGAACTCATGGTGTCCCACTTTCTAGCCTGATGCCTTAACCATTGCACCAAACTGGCTGAGAAATGATGCTGTAGAGTAAATATTGCTGAATTTTGGGCTTACTTTGCAAGTACAGCTTGCAATGGCCATTTTCTCCAAATTCAAAATCTCATTCGTTTTGCTTAATTTTTAAGCTGGGCAATGTTATTTATTGAATTTTTTTTTCTAAATGGAATAAAATGCTTAGTAGCTAGCTGAAACCATCTTTCTCCCATCCATTTCCAACTGTTGCCCATGATAGTGGGTGACTCAAAGGACAAAGACTGGTTGAAAAAAGTTTACCACTCCCATTCATTTTTTTCTAAAAAAAGGATTTATTAGTCAATAGCCAAAATCTTGTATTAAGAAGCGTCTAGCTCTCCATGGCACACTGGAGAATTGGCTGCCAGTCAGAGACAGCATTGGACTGATTAAATAGGAAGTACTTTCATCTGTTAAATCTCCATGTTGTTAATTTTGAGCCATGGGTATTCTGAACATCCCTCAATTCCCAACATACTACTGTGGCTTTAATAATTAACAAAATAATACTAATAGAAAATGAGAACAATTGAAATGTTATGTTAATAGTTTGAGAATGCCATAGGAACATTGATGTTTCATCTAAATTCAGGTCTTTGTGAGCTTCATATAAAATGAAATAAATTAAAATTCAGGGTAAACTGAAAGAAACTTACCAACACCATATTTCCATCTACTATTTTTCTTTTGATAGTAGCGTGGTTGCCATCCCACTTCTGTATGTGAATGAGGGTGTCATTATCCTTTGTTACAAAGCTCTAAAAAATATACGGCAGTTTATGGGGAAGATATTTACTTTCTCCCTCCTTGTTAAATGAATTCCTTCTTTTCCCTCCATACAACCTATTTTTCACTAGTTGGCATTTATTTATTTATTGGTATCCCGCCTTTATTATTTTTACAAATAACTCAAGGTGGTGAACATATGCAACACACCTTCCTCCTCCTATTTTCCCTATAACAAGAACCCCTCAGGTGAGTTGGGCTGAGAGAGTGACTGGTCCAAAGTCACCTAGCGGGCTCTCGTGAGTAAAGCAAAATTTGAACTCACCATCTCCTGCTTTCTAGCCTTTCTAGTCTTCCTTAGCCACTAGACTAGACTAACATTCTAGTAATTATCCAGTTATATGGCAAGTTATTCTATCTCTTCTTCTTAAACATGGAAATAAAAACCTAAGAATATTTACCTTGGCCAGCCTGTTATCTATAGTCCTTTCCTTAAACTCTTCGTCCAGTTGGAAGGAGATCTCATTAACTGTAAACATAGTTTCTGTTCTGATAGTGATGACATCTTTGTCCATAGTGATAATTATTTTGGGTTTGGCTAGAGCACCCAGTTGTCTCTGGGCAAAGCTTATTCCTACAGAATACAAAACATGAAACATCATCCAGTATTTTAAAGGCCTTTCTAGAAATAACTCAGGTTAGAAAATGGCAACCTATCTTGTAGAAAAAACAACAGATAAAGTAATAGTCAATACAACAGAAAATATAAAACCAGATGAATTAAACTTACTGAAATTAAAATGAAATTACACATTGTGTATTAGTGCAGCAATGTTTCTAATTTTTCATTATGTTAGTGAGTCATAAAATACCACCTTATTCCCATCCTAGTAATCTGGTTAACTCTTCATATTTTCCAAATCTGATATGGAATTGCAGGTTTGGTTAAATAAAACATATTTTAAAACACACCACACACAGAAAATGTTCTACTTCAAACAGAGTGTAAAAGAAGGCACTCAGACAATCAAAATTCAGATTTTAGGATAATTTTATTTTGTTTAGTGGATTTGATTAGTAATCTTCTAATGCAAAGCAAGATAAAATATCCAAGATACACAGTATTCTTCGCCTGATAGGTGTCACATATGTTCATCTACAACTCCTAACTACACATGTAAGGTCTATTCAAAAGGTACTGGAAGGTACTGAATTGGAAGAAGCAATGGCCATTTCAGTTAAGGATGATGGATGCTGCAATTCAATTTATTCAAGGAGCACCAGATTGGAAATTGCCATTTTAGGAATCTAAAATAATTATTGTAGCTCTGTTTGCCTTCAAACATTTTTGGAAGAAATACTTTAGACCTCCTTACGTAAGTGCAAGCCTAACTCCTCCCAGCCTACCAAGAGAGAACAAGTCCACTCTTTTTTTAAATGGTCAAAGGCTGCTATCGTGTTTCTTCTTAGTCCTATTTTCTGCAGGTGAAATACACCTCATTCTTTTTCTGTATCTCATAGTTATTTGTTCTAGAGTTCGGTAACAGAAACAAATATCATATATTCCTTTGTATAGGCAAGATCCAAAATCACAAGTTTACTGACTTACTTTGGATCAGTTACTCTTTCTCACTCTTTGCAAATTCAACATACTTCAAACGTTTTTATGAAGAATAATGGGAGTATGGTGCATTATATATGCTACTTTTTGCTCCTGGGTAAAAAGCAGGCTATAAATCTGACTAACTGGTTGTCTCTGAAAATTTAGTTTTTTCCTGCAGTATGTTTGCTTACCCAGTTCTTTCATATAGTCATCAAAGTTTTCACTCAAGATTAGTTTCCATGTTCCCAAGAATTGCTCCACCATCGTTTAAATATGATATAGAAAAAAACTGAATAGATCTGTGGAATAAACATGACAGAATGTTCAAGAAAAAAGGAACACTTTGGATGGATTTTCACAATGCTAGCTCTTCATTTCTTTCGGCCAGCTGTATCATGGACTTGTGTGAAATTATGTTATTTGAATTCCTCCAAGGAACTTCCCAGCTTTGTATTATAATGGACTAGAAGCAGGGAGAAATCAGTTAGGAACTAAGACCAACACAGGATAGAAAATGTTACTCCATTATTAAAATGTGTAGTACTTCTTAATTTGCAACTAGCCATTCTTAATGGACAAATAACTATATATTCCTTTTCCATTTCTTTTCCAATATATTCCAATGAGCCTATGAGCCTTAACACTCTGTTAGTCTGTATTTCCTCAAAGAATCTGACTACCTATATGGACTTTTTGGTACTGGTGATACTGACTATGAGCAGAGTGCAAATATATCATTTTTCATCCTAGCTTGCTCAGTAATCCAGGATGGCTGGGGAGCTGTACCAAACCCAAACAAAATGTTTTTAGATTCCAGTCATTTTCCCCCCAAACTTTTCATGGCAATGCTGATGATTATTTTAATGCTGGCTTCAGATATTTTCCTGCCATTGTAGTGTTTTATTTTATAGCTGTAAATATTTGTAGTTCTGCTTTTGTCTACATTTAAATATTTTATTATTTCTTACTGCTTTGGAAACCTTTGGCTGAAAGGAACCTTGAAGAATGAAATGAAATGAAAATAGTACCTATAGAAATACTGTTATGACTTTGGTGACAGAAGAAATAGAAGTACACACCACAGTTTGGTTTTATTCCAATTTGTTGAAAAAGGTATAATGGCTTAATATTACGCACAAAGCAGGCTAATGGCTATTTTTAACAGTAGGACTTTCCATTAATTTGGTAGACTCAGGAAGAAGGTTCAATATAAATAGGATATTGCATTGCATTGGTCTCTTATCTGTTAAGGCTCAAATTGGCCTCGTAATTTGAATCACCTAAGAGGCTGGAACTTAAAGCAAACAGAGATTTCAATAGCCTTCATTTATTTTTAAGAGTTGCATAGCAGGCAGTAATTCAATAATCCTTGCATTTGAGGCAAAGCAATTTTTCCTGGATTTCTAAACAATGCTTCTTTATCAGAAATGGCACGTGACTGTCCTAGGCCAAAAAAACCAAGGGGATCCTGAAAAAGTCAAGATAGCAGCTGTAATCCATATTGATGTATGTAAAGACAGAGAACTTCAATCATGGGTTTGTGGTTCCCATCTTAACTTTAGCCTGTTGCCATCCCTGCAAAAAGAGAATAGAAAGAAGGAAGAATAACAATATTGGAAAATAAGTGAGTGGAAGCCAGTTTACTAAAAGCGAATCCTTGTTGTTACTTTGTGTTTTGTGCACTAAAACAAAAATATATTTGTCTCCAACCTACCTTGCAAATCTCACAGTTCTCCCATTTTGGATAGAGAGATCAAATTTAGGGCCTGTGGTATTTTTTACTGTACTGTACATCCAAAAGAGGTCACGAGGATCTTGGATTTCCAGGAAAACAACATTTTACAAAATGTAAAATATAAGAAATGTACATTATCATCACAAACCAAGAATAGACGAAATGCCTGTCAAGAAAAGCTATCGCTCCTTCATTAAATCTTAAATTGTTCACCAAGATGGTATTTTGACCTTATTTTTAAATCTTTCTTCCTTCTTCCCACCCTTCCCCAAGATAATTGGTATGCTCCTTCAAGGGAGAGCAGAGACATTCTTAGAGAACATGGCCGTCAAGTATGAAAGTGTTCCATGTACTGTAAATGTTACCTTCCAGCGGGAGATGATGTTCTGCTTATAACCTTCTCATGGTATCTTGTCAGTCACTACAGGAGCCGAATACTGCACTAGTTCAAGAAGCCAATAGTATGGCCAGCCCAATTCTTATATTCTCCTAAAAGAAAGGGGATTTCTGAATAGAAAACAAGAATCTGTTGATGTCTGCTGTATGGAATAATTAAATGCAAATCCACATCAGAAGGAGAAGAAAAAGGGTGACACCTTTTTCTAATCCCTGCACGTCAGTATGATTCAGGTAATCAATTAGCAAAGTTGTTATGAAAGTTTAGGGAGTGTAACCAGAAATCATGCTTGTCACCCAGACCAGCAGGGGGTGTCTTTGTATTTGCACAGAACGAAACAGCCAGGATTACACTTGACAAGTAGAACTAAGCTCAGAATACAGTGTGCAAAAAGGAAGCTGGAGTTCAATTCAGAAAGCTGGCCGACTTGTCTGAAGACATAGAAAAGAAATGTGTGGGTTTGTTTAATAATATCATTGTTGGTATATCCAAATTTGTTACAATTTAAAAAAAATCTCAGCTAATGTAATGCGTATATAAATGAAACACTTCATCATGATTCCTAGGTCTTCAGGAAATTAACAGATTTAAAACTCAAACACAAATCAAATTTCTGCTCCAAAAAGTTCTGCATACTGTAGACTGGGAGTACACTATTTTGAATAAAGAAATGCAGCAACTTGGACCTATGAGAGGAAAAAAGATCCATAGTTGTGTGGCATTATTATTAGGAAAACTAAATTATTTTAAAATGCATACAGTTTTCAGATTTTTCAGAATGCTTCATCAAATAATGTTCATTTTAAAAATGTGGGATGGGAAGAAGCAGAAAAATCAAAAAATCAGGGTTAATGCTTTACTTGCATAAGCTGCAGTTTCAACTGTATATCTATTTATTCAGTAAGCCCTCAACAAATAATAAGCTATTGTAGCTTAAACCTGGAGCAGCTACTAAATTCCCTGCCTCAAAATAACCCTATAAAAAGAAATGTGGATGTGGAATGAAGTCATAATATTAATTCAGTGGAATCCAACATTGTAATATAAATAAAGTACAAAAAGTAAGATGTTTAGGATTGTGGGGTTTTTGAAATTCAGTCTCCAAGACGTTCTTCAGAGCACACAGGAGCATGAATGTAACATTTTTTCTGGAATTCTGTAAAATACCATTTTTTCCTTGGATCATATGGTAGCTGTAAGCAGACTGCTATGCATTCCTGAGAAAAGATGCAGCTGTTTTGAAGAGTTGCAGACGGGATATATTTGCACTCTTAATTAATTCTTCCAAGTTATTTCTAGACTTCTGCTCAATCCTATCAATTATATAATGCAGTTTTAAGATGGGTAATTATTTCGAAGAAAAGAGGTCAAATCTTTCCAACAATACAACAATCATAACAATCAACTGCAAATTGCAGCCCTCTGGATTTGTATTACAATTCCCAATAGCCCTAGCAAGTATAACCAATGAAAATTGATTCTTGGACCTGTCTTTCAGCAACATGGCTAGGTACATTGAGGTACAGAAACTAAAACAAGTTTCTACTTTTTTTGTGCTAGCTGCTTTGTCCTTAACAAAGTTCTTAACTCCTGAAAAGTATATTTTTCAACAGTTAAAAGAAAAAAGAGCAGGAAAGTACATTGTACTGCAGGGGAAAGCTGTCATTATTCGGCCATCCAGTAAATAAGATAAGAACAAAGCGATGAAAGAAGCAAGCTTTTATCGTGTGTGTGCGCGCGCACGCGCGCGCATGTGCACGGGCATCTTGGAATCAATCTTGACTCCTGCTGACTGCCTAGACTAGAGTAGTCCCTGCAGTTTTCCTGGCAAGATTTCAGAAGTAGTTTGCCACTGTCTCCTTTCTAGGGTTGAGAGGAAATGATTGGCCCAAAGTCACTCAGCTGGCTTTATGTCTAAAGCAGGACTAGAATTCATAGTCTCCTGCTTTCTTTCCAGATGCCATAACTACTACATCCACCTTACTTTAACATGTCCACCTATAACTGATATGTAATAAAAATGTTTGAATTATTTGGCAGAAGTAGAAAAGTTTTCATTTATACTTTGATCTATGCCTTTCTGCTAAAAAGCAGGGCACTAGAAATCATAACAGAACAAAGTGCCCTCCATCTCCAATTTTCTCACTGCAGGCTTCTTGACATCATTCATCTGGTTCAGTGATTATGAACCACAAATTGCTGATGACTGAGGCAGAAACAATCATGGGGCATTAATCTGGAACAATGCATGGCAAGATGATTCATTCATTTAGGAGCTTCAAAGGAAGTCTGCAACAATGTTGCCTTTCCTCCTAATTATTTTTAATTAAAAACAATGTCAAATACAAAACTACTTTAGCATAAAATCATTGTAGCTAGGAAAATGGAAACACCTGAGTAGGTGTTAGGTGTAGTCCAGGTCAAAATGGTGGTATTTACTTTCGCCATATATTTCTGTTTTATCAGCGTCTCTAAAATCAAGGTCATTCCTGTTGAAAACTTGTTCAAGATGTACAATAGTGCAGGATTCTTAATCTCAGATATTATGGAAACATGAGTCATTATTCCTACGGAAATAATGAACAGGATATGCAGGAGATAGATTTCAAGAACTCTCTTCCTCTCTCTTATTTTGAGGTATTAACAGTAGTTAACTACAATTTGTGTTGGTCAAATATGGATAAGTTCTGGTTTGTGGCAAATAAAAATAAACAAATATTTTAAATAACAAGCAAAATCCCTCTCCAACAAGCACACGTTTGGTAATTTCACAGAAAAGTTAAATTAATAAGATTGATCTGTTTTCTCATACAAATTGTAAATTGTCCCCCAAAATCCACAGTACAATTCAAGATCTATATCACACTAAGCAGAGCAAGAATTGGGAATTTGTGGCTCTCCAGATATTTTCAGGGTGATGATAAAACATCATATGAAAACAGTAAATATAATAGCAGTATAATCAAAGAGAGCAGGAAAAAGCAGTGGTCAGGACAATTACATCAATTAAAATGTCTGGGAAAACAAAAATGTTCCAAAACAGCTTCATCAGCGACAGGATACATCTCCATCAATTGGTGTGCCTATTACCAGGGTTGTAGGAAGCAGCCTTATTCATTTATATTTCTTACATTTATATGATGTGCAATGAAGAAGCCCTCTTTGCTGGATCTCTACTCCCTCAGCATATCTGCTTATCATACCCCACTTAGGTAGAGTAGGCATGCTCCAGGTTCCTTCCCTGAAATGTTAGCATCTAATTCAGGGGTGTCAAACTCAATTTCATTGAGGGCCATATCAGCATTGCGGTTGCCCTCAGGGGGCCGGGTGAGTGTGGCCAGGATGGGTGCAGCCTACTGGGTGGGCATGGATGGAGTGGGTGTGGTTTCGGCAGGCAGCGGGGCGTTCTCCTCACAGCGCCAAGAGCTGAGCCAGGTGGTGAGAATCTGATGTGAAGTGCAATGCTGCCTAGCCCCCAGCCTGCCCAGTTTCAGCAGGCAGCAGGTGCAAAGCTGGCGAGCTTCACACCGCCCAGCTCAACCTCTTGGCGCTGTGAGGAGAGTGCCCCGCTGCCTGCCGAAACCAGGCAGGCTGGGAGCTGGGCATCGTTGCACTTCTTTTTTCATTTGTGCCGCCTGGCTCAGCCTCTCGGCGCTGTGAGGAGAGCGCCTCACTGCCTGCTGAAACCCCTCCCCCAAAGCCCATCAAGTCGGATATGTGAAGTAGGCAAGGGCCATTTGCTGGCCACTTCCAGGTGATGGTGCATTTCTTCATTCCTCACAAAGGGTGACACCTCCCCAGCATGCACCCAAGAGGTGAGGCTGACACGGCAGGGGCTGGTTCCTCGCTGTTTCCAGACATTCTTGTGGAGCTAAGACTGAATACGTTTCAGCATAGATGGCCACCACAAAATTGTACATTGGCTCCCGGCTGGCCTGGGCCAGGGCCAAGGCAGTGGGGGCCGTTCCCTCACTGTTTCCAGGACAGCTTCGCAGGCCACATGAAACCACTTCGCACGCCGCATCCAGCCCCTGGGCCTTGTGTTTGACATGTCTGATCTAATTCAAAAGTGTACCTTTTCCATGGCTGCTCCTATACACATCCTATCCCAGGCAATCCGATAGCCCCCCCCCCAGCCTTTTAGCTTTCCAGAAAGACCTTAAGACCTGGCTTTTTATCTAGGTGTTACGGTAGAGTGAGGGTGCTTCTGGTTAGTTGTTGGTGCATCCCAAGTACCCAAGTAGATTGCAGAGGCATTGGGTTTTGGTTGTGTTTTATAGCTTTATGGGTTTTATAGCTTGGGGGGGAGTTGTTGTAGTTGTGAGCAGACAGAATTGTTTTAAGATGGGTGGCAATGTAATGTTTTAAATAAATTTAAAAAAGTGATTCAGCTTTTTATGCATAGAAGCAGTGTGCTTAGACATTCATGGTGCACACAGTGGCTACAATCTGGCATTGTTTTAGGGAGGGTTGTCTTGCAAGATGGAGAGAGGTTTGTTTGTTACATTCCTTCCTAACATATACCTACAACTATCTTAGCTGAGTTGCAAAAATCACCACCACTAAATTTGGGGTTTTTGTTTTTGCTGCCATTTAGTGGTCATCCGGATTGTTGCAATCTAGGTATGATGGCCCTGGAATATTTTCAGGAGTTTTGTCAGAACGCTCACATTTATAAGAGATGTGGATAATGAATAATATGATAAGTAGTTTCTATTAAATTGTAGCTCAAAAATTAAATCTTGCTTCCCTTGTAGGGGAAAAAAAAGCAAGCAATAGTTCAAGCTAGGATCCCGAAAGGGAAAAAAAATCATGAACAAAGTTCATTTCTCTTCTAAAAATAAATATGGTTTCATGAATATATTTCCAAAAATTGTATTTTTACTAAAGGTCAGCCTGACTGGGAATTCTACACATGCTGTCCCATCACATTTGGAAAGGACCAATTTGATTTAGGATTTCATGACTTTTTATGCAAAAGTGAATTTTTGATATTCATTTTTTAGTAATCACATAAAATGTATAATTCACAAATCAATAGAATTAAACTGAATCTTCAAAATAATAAAGACACTGAAACATTTATTTTAGAAAGGGGTATGAGACCATAATTGGCAGGAAAGCAATCCATATGAACTCTACACATATTAGCAGAAATCCACATAAATCCTCCTAGGTATGCATGAGCAAATATTTGTATTTTTCAGGGATATTCACCAGATCTTAAGAAAGCTTATTGAGATTGAGCTAAAACATATGGCTCTGTCTTGGTATGTCTTTATGGCGATACAATATGAATTAACACAACTCTACAATGAAGCAATTTATTGTATTTGAGATATAACTTCTGAAGCAAGCAAACAAGTTCCCCTTTCTTCATTGGATGCTTTAAATTTTTAAACAATAAAAGTATGCCTGTGAAATAACAAATTTTGTCAAGACCAAATGCCCCAATTATGATGCCTGTAACTGTATCAAAACTAAACAAATATTTTTAAAGTTAGCAGTAAGGAAACTGAGGGCTCATGGATTAAAGAATTGGAACACATCAAAGCTTGCAGTTCTTCAAAATATTAAAGCTGCTTCTGTGGATATAAAATTAAAATGGATTCATTTCAACTGTAGTGGACATCCCAAATTTTAAAGGATTTAAAGGATTAATATCTATTGGTGATATAAACAATTTGAGGGGTCATTGACTCATGATTTGGTCCTGTGAATCACTAAAATCTTTTTAAAGTAATATTTTAATATACATAGATTTTCTGTGGCATTGATTTCGATACTTTATAATCTTCCTCCATTTTTTAGTCTTTTGTTTGTTTAGTTTTTCATTTATTTTATTTTCTAGTGCTTCATGTATTTTTCCTATTTCTTTCTGTAAAACTTAGAATGTATTGTACTTCCAAATAGGCACATACAGCTTTTATTTATACTTATTTAATAATGCAGAGGCTCAGACTATGTGAATGTAATCCTGAAACAACTTTCTCATGAATTGGCCATCAATAGTAGTAGCCCAGATACATTCATAAGAAAGTTTAAGTTTGAAGCCTTACTGAGTTGGAAAGGACATTTGAAGTCTTCTAGTCCAACCCCCTGTTCAAGCAGGAGACCTTTTACTATTCTAGACAAGTGGCTGTCCAGTCTCTTCTTAAAAGTCTCCAGTGATAGAGTACCCACAACCTCTGAAGGCAAGCCATTCCATTGGTTAATTGTTCTCACTGTAAGGAAATTTCTCCTTAGTTCTAGGTTGCTTCTCGCCTTGATTAGTTTCCATCCTTTGTTTTTTGTCTTGTCTTCTGTTGCTTTGTAAAATAGGTTGATCCCCTCTTCTTGCAAAAATGTCCTGCTTGAAAGAGAGTTTCAGTGATGCAACTCCTACAATTTAAGACATTCTTTCAAAGATTTGCTTCTTAATGTTAGGAATCAACATATGTGTATATTGTTTCTGCAATATAAGGCAGTGCTTAAGAGAGTAGGAAAATATTCTCTAAAATTATTATTTAAAAAATTGATTTTAGTAATAAAACAATTTTCTCTAATTTGGTGTTATTAACATATTAACTAATGGGGAAATCCATTATAACTGGAAAAGTTTGTACTAATTATTTCATTTGTTGGGTTCACAAAACACACTGCATAAACCATGGTTAACAAACCACAATGACTGTTTACACTAAAACCAAATAAAACCTGAATTAGTATTGTTTCAGAAGAAATGCTTCAAACCTCACATAAGCACAGCATCTTTCTTCCAGTCATTAAAAAACTCACTCATTAAAGTGAATGCAACTACACTTTTCTTTCTTCTGAATAAAATGTTAGGCCCTTTGTTGTGTCAAACAGTTGACTGAATATCTGTGCTCTTTCAGGATTAGGCCAATTTATAATTCACATAAAGATAATTAAAAATACCTACAGCAAATCAAAGGATCCTATTATCATCACAATCAAATAGTGATAGGAAGCATATTTGTTTGACTTGTTCATTGCATAAATAAAAAGAATTCTCAAAGCTTTAAAATACAAAGAGTTCTCCAGACTTTATGTGTAAATAAATCCCATTGAAGTAAATCCCAGTGGAATTGACAGCTGAACAGACATGCATAGGATTGTGCTGTTTATTGTATGTAATTAGAATGTTACAAGAAATAGTTAATTGCTAGATCAGTGCAGAGGTCAGTGCTTTTTATGCAGTGGATTAGTCATACCAACTACAGTATAACTGGAAAAAAAAGAAAAAGTAGCAGAAATCATGCTGCTGCTGGAACAAAACATAATAGTTAGGTGCTGGTAATACAATGCTTTGTCCTAATGGCTGATAGCACTATGACCCACTAAGAGAAAAAAAATCTGTTAAATCAGAGCCATTGGTTGCCTTTGTAACTATTGGCTAATAGCAGAAAATCACATGATCAAGGCATCTTTTTAAAGGCATGAGTGAAGTTAGTAACAGAAGTGACTATATTGAGGTTTGCAGGAAGGTGTTTGGAGTGTGTTAGGAGACTTAGTCCTTCACAATGTGTGAGCCATTTTTGGGAACTTGGAAACTAATTTCAAGTGAAAAGTTTGATGACTACATGAAGGAACTGGGTAAGAATTATTTCTGAGATTTAGTAAAAGCTTTGTTTTTTGCTGGAGAATGTGGTTAAGTAGAAATTTTTATTATGTAATTAGTGGACTTGTTTTGTTATAAACTTAACCTCTGTGACAATATAGCTCCTATTTCTATTTTCTTTATTGTTAATAGTAATGTGGAAGAAAAACTCCTTACAGTATGTTAGCTATGCTAGATTCCAGAGTAATCCATGTTACATATCTGTTGAGTAAAACTTATTTGCATTTTATCTGGCTTCCAACTAATTTTTCAATGCGCAAATTCTGTTAATAATATAGCATGGCTTATCTGTAGAATGTTACCATAGAATTGTTTTATTAAATATTAGAAGAGCATGCAATCATGTTTGGGCTTTTGTGTAGCATTTGTATCCAGGTTATGTACCACAGAAATGTGAAGGGCTCTTGCTACTTGTTTACTTAAATGTTTATGGTCTGATATTTTCTCAACATACATTGAGAACATTGATACAAATGTTGACAAAATACTTCAAACATAAGAAGCTCTGATTGGATGCTCCCTTATATGAAAGTTTATGGTTTTTTCCCCTCTCTGGCCAAATTTGAGCAAGGTTTTGTGTTGCTTGGCAATGCTCTTATCAGACATGCTTGCTTTAAGTTAATGATACTTCAAAGAATTGGTCTGAAGCTTTGCATTGTTTATCCACCACACCTTTTAAGTAGAATGCTGGCCACTTATTTAAGTGTAGTGAAACTAATAC